GTTTATGGGTCGCCTGCAGAGGGCATGTGTATCATCGCACGCCAGTGGCTGCAGTGTGTGGATGTCGTCGGCCAAAGGCCTCTCCCTGATGGCATGCGTTGTACACTGATCACACTCGACTCCGAGCAAGCAGCAGAAAAATAAGGCAACGTCCAAAAAAGTCAACACCGCACTTTGGTTCACGTTTGCAGGTCGTGTGCAATCAGAACTAGACAATACGCTCTGTTTCTGGGACGCGAGCAGAGGGTATGTGTGAGACCACACGCCACTGGCTGCTGTTTGTGGATATCGTCGGCCAAAGGCCTCTCCCTGGCATGCGTTTTTGACTGGTCGCGGGTGACACACGGAGCAAACACGCGGCGGAACAAGAAAAAAGACCAGAACGTAAACACCGCAACACACCTCGGTTCACGTTTGCAGGCCGTGCGCAATCTAAACTGGACAATACGCTCTGTTTCTGGTAAGCGAGCAGAGGGTATGAGTATGCCCACACGCCATTAGCTGCAGTTGTGGATGTCGACGGCTTAAGGCCTCCCTCTGGCGTGCGTTCTGAACTGTTCACACATGCAGCAGGCACAACAATGGCTCTTTTCGGCCCAAAGGCAAGAACGTCAGCAGAGCAATGTGGCAGGGTTGACGTTTTCGGCGCGTGTGCGGCCAACACGACGCAGAACGCCCTGAATGTTAGATACCTGCAGAGGGTTTGTGCATGGCCTCATGATACTGGCCTCTGTTTGGCCAGCAGACGGTGTGGTTCCTCGTTCTGGCACGATATGGGTGTGACCAGGGGGTACCCCCCCCCCATTTCTAACAACGATATTCCAACAGGATCACCATTAGAAAATGGGCCAATTTTCTAACAGGACCGCCGGGATTCTTGGAAATATTCGGGCTGTGATAATTTGGGCTGTTGGAAAATGCCATTTTCCTCCGCGTAAGCAGCCCAAATTATTTTTTGGGCTAAGAACAGTACCCCCCCCCAAGTCCAACACCCCAAAAAATCACAGCGTAAGAAACCCCCTGAGCGCTTCTCTTTCCTTCCGCACTCCGCAACATTTTTTTTTGCCTTTTTTTTGATGCTGCGTCTCCCATCGCCGCGGATTCCAGGCCGCAAAACGACTTGACTTAATGAGAGCCGTGTTGTCGTCCAGGAAACGCAAACACCCTCGCCACAGGGGGGTGGAGAAGCGTTGTATTCGCGCAGTGAGCATGCAAACAGTATGTAGGGCAGTGAGCGTAGCATCATCTGGTGTGTATGTAGGGCAGTGAGCGTAGCATCATCTGGTGTGTGTGTCTCACATGCCGTAGAGAAGAAGATGTAAATATAACGATGGATGTGAATCTGACAGGAGCGCGCACGTGTTCTGTGTTTTTCAAATATTCAAAAGAAGACGGATACACGTATGCCCACGCAGCCTAACCATCACGCGGTACATACAAGAACAGTCAATTGTTGGCTGGTCGTTCGCGGTGGAGGCTGTTGGGGTGTTCGTTTCCCTTCTGTTTCCAGGCGGCTGTTCGACTTGGAGTCTTCCATGTTCTTTGAAGCAGCTGTAACATTGTTCTCTTTCTAGCACAGCAGGAGCGGGTAGAACAACAAAGAGCACCTTGTTTGGTCACAGGTATCCGTATACGCAGTTTCGAAAACGCACCGTCTGTACTCCGTGGTTGCTCTTTTGCTGCACGCTGGAGGAACAAAACAAAACACGTCCGCCCTCGAGAACAGTCTGACCGCTTACTAAAGTGGGTAGGCCATTCAAGCGGTAGCAATCTAAGAGGTGGGACGCCGTTATGGCTCGCGGCTGATTGATGGTGCGAGGTTAGCTGTCTGTCGGTAGGTCCCATTTGCCCTCTCTTCAACTCAGAACAACACCCGTCGCCTGTTTGTTGGCATCTCTTCTCTACTGCTGTCATCGACACGTTTGTGCCGCTGTGCTGCTGCTTCTGTTTTATTGTGGTGCTCTGTTCCTGGCTGCTCATATTGCGTTATTTCACCTCCTTCCTGGCCCTCACTCTTCGTGAGGCACAGGCAAGCAAACGCTGTGGTACATAGCTAACGAGCACCCACGACCCGCAGCAGCACAGCACAAAGTTGGAACGTTGGACCGAACATAGAACGACATTGTATGCATATGAACGTAGAACAAATATTGACGACAAAATAGGTCTGTACCTTTTTGGCCGGGGTTGATCGTCTGTATCCCGGTCGTTGGCCTTGTTTCCTTTTAGTTGTGTCTTTTTTTGGTTTTGTCAGTATGACCCAACGAATCCATCTCTATCGAAGCAAAGAGTCTAAGATAGACAAGAAATGAATCCGAAGCTTTTCTTTTCGTTTGGGTAGAAAAGAAATCGCGCCTGGAGGATTATTCTCTGGTGTCCACCTCGTTTTTCTTTTTTGAAAGGTGTACCCCCCATTTGGTGGAGCAGTTGGCGCGTGACCACGGACGGCGTCAGCGTCAGTTGGACCAGTACGGACATTAGAAAGTGCTGAGCGGAGACCGGAACGGTTTTGATTTTCCGTTCACGTGTCCTTTTGTTTGATTTGTTTCTCCCCCGTCGTGGTGGGTGCAATACGTACGTGTATGTATGACCNCAATTTCCGTGGTCACAGGCTAACGTACCTAGAAAAGGTATACCAAAATAAAATGGACCCCAAGGGTCAGCAGAGCGATAAAATACAAGAAAACAAAATATAATCAGAAACAAATAAAATAAAATAAAATAAATAATTAGACTAGTGGAACGGCCGCACCACCAGCCTGGGGGGGTAGCCTCCCACACTGCACGATAGCAAACAACAACGAGCAACAGGGGTCAGCGCTCACCGTCAATTGCTAGAAGTTATTGTACAAGGCGTCCCTCCGGAGAGGGGTAAAGACTAAAGACAGCACCGCGGCAGGGGGTGGTGCAAGAACATGCAAAGCGCAAACACAAAAATTTTGAACGAGAGTTAAGACTTTGTTACGGCTTGATTTTTGTCGGAGATTTTTTCTTCTCTCGGTCTGGGGGGGGTGGCCTGCACGGAAATAGTTATCGAGATCCAAACGACCGTCTTACGGTTCCTCGAGGTATATTTCTTGTGAAGGGAATAAAGAGGCTGATTATGTTGGTGTGAGTCACAACATGCTTCAGTACACGGTTTTGGCTCGTGTGCGACCAACAAGACACCGAGCGCCCTGTTTATGGGTCGCCTGCAGAGGGCATGTGTATCATCGCACGCCAGTGGCTGCAGTGTGTGGATGTCGTCGGCCAAAGGCCTCTCCCTGATGGCATGCGTTGTACACTGATCACACTCGACTCCGAGCAAGCAGCAGAAAAATAAGGCAACGTCCAAAAAAGTCAACACCGCACTTTGGTTCACGTTTGCAGGTCGTGTGCAATCAGAACTAGACAATACGCTCTGTTTCTGGGACGCGAGCAGAGGGTATGTGTGAGACCACACGCCACTGGCTGCTGTTTGTGGATATCGTCGGCCAAAGGCCTCTCCCTGGCATGCGTTTTTGACTGGTCGCGGGTGACACACGGAGCAAACACGCGGCGGAACAAGAAAAAAGACCAGAACGTAAACACCGCAACACACCTCGGTTCACGTTTGCAGGCCGTGCGCAATCTAAACTGGACAATACGCTCTGTTTCTGGTAAGCGAGCAGAGGGTATGAGTATGCCCACACGCCATTAGCTGCAGTTGTGGATGTCGACGGCTTAAGGCCTCCCTCTGGCGTGCGTTCTGAACTGTTCACACATGCAGCAGGCACAACAATGGCTCTTTTCGGCCCAAAGGCAAGAACGTCAGCAGAGCAATGTGGCAGGGTTGACGTTTTCGGCGCGTGTGCGGCCAACACGACGCAGAACGCCCTGAATGTTAGATACCTGCAGAGGGTTTGTGCATGGCCTCATGATACTGGCCTCTGTTTGGCCAGCAGACGGTGTGGTTCCTCGTTCTGGCACGATATGGGTGTGACCAGGGGGTACCCCCCCCCCATTTCTAACAACGATATTCCAACAGGATCACCATTAGAAAATGGGCCAATTTTCTAACAGGACCGCCGGGATTCTTGGAAATATTCGGGCTGTGATAATTTGGGCTGTTGGAAAATGCCATTTTCCTCCGCGTAAGCAGCCCAAATTATTTTTTGGGCTAAGAACAGTACCCCCCCCCAAGTCCAACACCCCAAAAAATCACAGCGTAAGAAACCCCCTGAGCGCTTCTCTTTCCTTCCGCACTCCGCAACATTTTTTTTTGCCTTTTTTTTGATGCTGCGTCTCCCATCGCCGCGGATTCCAGGCCGCAAAACGACTTGACTTAATGAGAGCCGTGTTGTCGTCCAGGAAACGCAAACACCCTCGCCACAGGGGGGTGGAGAAGCGTTGTATTCGCGCAGTGAGCATGCAAACAGTATGTAGGGCAGTGAGCGTAGCATCATCTGGTGTGTATGTAGGGCAGTGAGCGTAGCATCATCTGGTGTGTGTGTCTCACATGCCGTAGAGAAGAAGATGTAAATATAACGATGGATGTGAATCTGACAGGAGCGCGCACGTGTTCTGTGTTTTTCAAATATTCAAAAGAAGACGGATACACGTATGCCCACGCAGCCTAACCATCACGCGGTACATACAAGAACAGTCAATTGTTGGCTGGTCGTTCGCGGTGGAGGCTGTTGGGGTGTTCGTTTCCCTTCTGTTTCCAGGCGGCTGTTCGACTTGGAGTCTTCCATGTTCTTTGAAGCAGCTGTAACATTGTTCTCTTTCTAGCACAGCAGGAGCGGGTAGAACAACAAAGAGCACCTTGTTTGGTCACAGGTATCCGTATACGCAGTTTCGAAAACGCACCGTCTGTACTCCGTGGTTGCTCTTTTGCTGCACGCTGGAGGAACAAAACAAAACACGTCCGCCCTCGAGAACAGTCTGACCGCTTACTAAAGTGGGTAGGCCATTCAAGCGGTAGCAATCTAAGAGGTGGGACGCCGTTATGGCTCGCGGCTGATTGATGGTGCGAGGTTAGCTGTCTGTCGGTAGGTCCCATTTGCCCTCTCTTCAACTCAGAACAACACCCGTCGCCTGTTTGTTGGCATCTCTTCTCTACTGCTGTCATCGACACGTTTGTGCCGCTGTGCTGCTGCTTCTGTTTTATTGTGGTGCTCTGTTCCTGGCTGCTCATATTGCGTTATTTCACCTCCTTCCTGGCCCTCACTCTTCGTGAGGCACAGGCAAGCAAACGCTGTGGTACATAGCTAACGAGCACCCACGACCCGCAGCAGCACAGCACAAAGTTGGAACGTTGGACCGAACATAGAACGACATTGTATGCATATGAACGTAGAACAAATATTGACGACAAAATAGGTCTGTACCTTTTTGGCCGGGGTTGATCGTCTGTATCCCGGTCGTTGGCCTTGTTTCCTTTTAGTTGTGTCTTTTTTTGGTTTTGTCAGTATGACCCAACGAATCCATCTCTATCGAAGCAAAGAGTCTAAGATAGACAAGAAATGAATCCGAAGCTTTTCTTTTCGTTTGGGTAGAAAAGAAATCGCGCCTGGAGGATTATTCTCTGGTGTCCACCTCGTTTTTCTTTTTTGAAAGGTGTACCCCCCATTTGGTGGAGCAGTTGGCGCGTGACCACGGACGGCGTCAGCGTCAGTTGGACCAGTACGGACATTAGAAAGTGCTGAGCGGAGACCGGAACGGTTTTGATTTTCCGTTCACGTGTCCTTTTGTTTGATTTGTTTCTCCCCCGTCGTGGTGGGTGCAATACGTACGTGTATGTATGACCTGCGTGGTGGTTTGGCTGTGTGTGCTTACATGTATCCATCTTTCTATGAATGTTTGAAAACACACACGCGCGCGCTGCTCCTGTCTGGATTCATTCGACCCGTCCCACCTTCACATGCAGTCATTCTTCGAATGTGGAAGTATGTATTTTTGATATGTATGCACATATGTCATGGGAATTGAATTGTAGCTAGTATCAACGGTATTGCGAAGTAATGAATTCCCTGATGAGAGTGCGGGCGATGTAACTCCCGATGGAAGGATAAAACAGGGGACAGGACCTTTGTGGTCATTTCAAAGGGACGATGTCCCCCCCCCCTCCGTACTCAGGGTGGACCTTTTCAGCCACGTGTTCCGTCGAAAATCGAAAATCGACAATCGAAAATGTCACTGATTGGACAAAGCTCCAGTGTTCCGCCGCCGGATGTTCGATCTGGGGGTAATTAGGGGTAAGTGTTCCGAGTATTCTCCGATATGGAAAAATCAAAAGCGAGCACGAACAGACTTGAAATGCCTCCTTTTCGATTCTCGTCTAGCCACCTACAGACGACTTGGCGATGCAAGCAAGAGCTTGACAGAACGCTGACATCCAGCAGAGCACGGCATACGTCGTTTGAGCGAGATCTGCTCTAAGTTGAGAGAGAAGGAGTTATCACCGTGAAAAAAATTCTTTGTAAACGCAGTTTAAGGGCCGCTGTTTCGGCGTTGCTACATCAGCACGCAGCATTCAATCACACATTGCTCGCTTAGTTCGCAGCGTATCGACGCAAGACAAAGACCCCCCAACCCGCCTGATCATGGCCGTTGTTCGGAGCTATCGTTCGCTGTCTTGGATGCCGTGTGGTGGCTCTCATGGTCATGGTTTGAATCATGGCAACTGGCATGCACGGACCTTGTTCGCCTCTTGTTGGTTGATTTTCGATTTCGATTCCCCGCCCGCGCTGTTTCACGCCATGATCTACCCCCCGGAAACCGTTGTGGACAAGTTTGCCACCTCGCGAAAGCCCGCGTCATTCTCTTGCCGCTCTCGTCTTCCACGAAACCTTGGCTACATGTCCTCCATCAGAATAGTAAAACATCCTTGCCCCAAGGCTACCCGTTCGTAGTTGGCACACGCAGGAACGAATTAGATCAAGGGCGTGCGTGGTCGACGTTGCGATGAGTCAGAGCCGGGAAAAGAAGCGTGCGATTGTGCTTGCTCCTCGCGAAGGACACTGCTGATGAATCTAGCGTGACTGATGATCAGAATAACGCGGAGCGTCTCGACGTGTGCCTTCTGATTTTTTTTTTTGTGCTCCCGCTTTGCAGATGATGTCGGAGACGAAGAGATGGAAGAGATGCTGCAGGAGGGGCCGGCCGGTAAGGAGTGGGGCGGCCCGACACGAGGAGGGGTGCTGGGCGAACCCACGAGATTCGGCGATTGGGAGCGCAAGGGGCGATGCTCGGATTTCTGAACATGACGGCCATTGTGGCGCGTTTGCACGCTGACAAATTGTTCCGCCGGCAGTCCTGAGTCGCTTAATATCCCACGAGGAGCCCCAACGAGAAACTCGGGAGCTTGCCTGTAGACCGATTGCGCGTCGGCCACTACAGCGACGTTTGGAAAGGCGGGCGTAGCGAAAATTGGGACACGGGGGGCGATTTGGTGTTCGCAAAAAAAAGGCCCACAACCAGGGACGGGAACCCAGGGGAACGCTTCGGTGCCCGCTCCTTCTTGCTCTCAAGACTAATATGATTTTGTCAGAACGGGGCTTTCGTGCTCGTTTTAGTATGCACACTGATGCTAGCACGGAAATGTTTCTATCCTCAGGGTCACGGCTGCAGCCCCTCCATGTGGTCTTGTGTGGTGCCTGCGCTGGGACGATGGAAGGTTCCTGTTTGTTGTCTCTTGTAGTCCCTCAGAGCTTGCTGCGTCTTGCTATTGGGGAGGACCTAGCACATGAGGGTCGAGGGGCGAGATCAACCCTTCATGGTGTGGGGGCTGCTAGTGCCTTTCCCCTGCTACTTTTTTCCCTTTTGTTGGGAGTTGCTTCGCCCATGTTCTCCTTGGTTCTTCCAATCGGAATACCGGTGATGCCCGTGTATTCAAATCCCTTAGCCCTAGCCCACCCTAGGGGCTCCCATCTGCTGCACCGGGTGGATAGTAGACGGTCGTCTGAGGAAGTATCCTTCCGTCACAAATCGCTTTTGGCTCAATCAACTCTTGACCGGGCATCTGGTCTCCGTGGTGTTTGATTGCATGCTGTTTGATGCTGGTGGTCTACGCGTGCGGTCAAAACCTACTCGGTGGCGTGAGCGTCGCGGCCGCGTTGCTTCTCGATATATGAGGGAAGGGAGATGGGGCCGTGCTGTCAACGCCTACGCGGTTTGTTTTCGTCGGGGTGTGGAGAGGATGTGAGTATTGTTTTTGTTTGGGGAGCCGATCGACTTGTTCGCCCGCGGGTCGCCATTTGCAGATGCGAAGTACATCTCATATTTGCGTCGCGCTCTCTCGCGCGTACTGTACACGTACAAGGTGTTGGCCTTTTATTGCGTGTTTTTTTCGATCCACGGGCACCACTGTGGTTGCTGGGACCTTGTGATTCGAATGAATCGTTGTGCAGAACTGATTTGGTATTGGTCGTCTTTCGTGGCCTGCGTCTATTTAGAACGGAACATGGTTGCGTTGGACTGAGTGTGACATGCACTTATCTTGTCGTTGACACATGAGGTCTTCTTGCGGATGTGCAAGACGCGTAGCCCATTGGCGATCGACGAATAAATGGAAAATAGCACAAAACTACTTTTCTGGCTGCAAGCGTTCGTCCTGACAGGGCAGAACAACATTTGTGTGGTTCGGGCGCAATCGGGCGATGTTGTCCACGATTGCCCCAACCCGGCGAGGTTGTGCTTTCTGACGTTGCCAACCTCGCTAGGTTGTGCCACCCAGGTTACGCAACCTAGGTTGTACCTACATGTGCACGTTTTCGGGGCGTTTACAATGGGTGAATAAACGTGCACGGGCCACCTGTGTGATTCCCGAGGAAGCGGTCGGATCTCATTACGGGTATCCAGCGCGCAGGGTTTTATTACCATTCACTGCAGAGAGAGAGTGTCAATGCACACGCCCCTTTCGACTGCTACGCTGCGTTTTGCAGGCAATGTTGTTGTTGTTGTCTTCGCATTAAAAACCGTTCCGATCTCTCTCTACCCAGTACCTTCGTATGTCCGTACTGATGCAACACTCGACGCGGTCGATTCCCGTGGTCGCAGGCTAACTTTCCCTAACAAGGTACACTCAAATAAACTGGCCCCGAGGGGTCCGCAAGTCAATAGAAATCAACGACAGATATTCTGGAGTCGTCCACTCCCTCTGCGCGCTATGCGAGGTAACAACTGAGACTAGGAGTCACCATCACGGGCCGGAGAGAAATAGGTACGCCCCAGACGAGGCCATCTGGGCACAGAAAAAGAGAAAAATAGTGATAAAAAATGAAAACAGAGGAAAAAACGAGAAGAAAATAATAGGAAACAGCAGTAAGGAAAGAGAAAGTGAAATGAAAAAGAGCGAGGACAAAATGGGACCAGGCCGAAAATAACAAGAGATAAGAGACAGAAAAAGGCACACGGTGGAGGCACCAATAACGAACAAGCAAACATGCAAACATGGCCACCAACCAGCGATACATTGTAATGGTACGTCATCACTAGTGGGGGGTTGGTGCAACGGTGCAGCGTTGGGGGGTGGGGAATTGGCTAAAAGAAATTCAATCCGGCACGTATCGCGCCACTCGGTCCGTCTCTTCTCCTTTGCCTTCTTCCCTCGCCGTCTCGTCCGTCTCCTGCCCCCCTCCCGCCCCATCGGTTGTTGGCTTGTGGTTTCGTTTGAGCGCCCGTTGTCGGCTGGCCTCTTCTTCCTTCTCGTGCCAGGAGGTCATGAACCTCTCAGCTCCCTGCAGCACCGCCGCATGCCAGGGTACTCCTCCCTCCACTTCGCGGCTTCCGTCCACTTTAACTTCGGTGCCGTGTCTTTCGGTAATGGAATTTAGTGATTGCTCAACATGTATTTGCCGCGGAGTATATAGTAACGCGGGTGATAGGATGTGATACCCATTACATCTGAATACTACCACCAGTCAGTGTGTAAAACACATTTGTACTCCAGTTAGTTCGCCGAACTGCCCTAGACTACACCTAACTAACTAACTAGTCTAGACTAGTCTAATCAGCACATGCGCAATACCCATGAAGTCTAAAATACATCAGCGTGTGTGTGTCGTCCCATGACTTTGGCGACGTGCACAGTCAGTTGATGCAGGTCTTCGTCGTTGCAACGGGTCAGCAGTGCCGCTATTGTCAACGCCGATGCCACCGAATCCGTGCTGTGTAGCCAACAGAGAAGGGACCACCGGGCTCGGAAAGAAGATTTTTCTGGTGGCAGCAGACGCGTATCCATGTGGTATCCAATGTACATGAATAATCTCCACATCCATGAAAGAGAGGGTCGACACGTGATCTTGGTGCACCAGTGAAGATCCAATATATAGAAATCAACGATTTCACATGTCAAATCTACAACCAACCAACGAAGCGCACCCGAAAGAGAAGCAAACGAAGCACTCACAGGTTGTTGTACATTTGGACTTAAATGTAAATTAACACTCCACCCTGTTTTGTAGTACTTTTGCATCCATCCTCATACAGCTCATCGGTGAAATAACTGCGATCCGATGAGCCCACAGGAATTATAGCATGTGTTGCACGACCGTCGTGTGGGCGTTAGAGGGCTTCTTGCAACCCACAACAAACTAGCGGTGAAATACTTGCTGTCCGATTTCTTGCTCCAACAGAACAAACCTCAGCCAGCCGCGCCCGTGGGAAAAAACTTCGTTCGCTATTGGCGCCGACCTGTTGTTGGGGCATTTCTGCCGTGGGGAAATGGACGGCTGGTTGTTGTGCTGAGGGGGTTAACGAGCGAGCGCCCGTATCAGAATCAATCAATGTTTAATGTACTGCAGCAAGCAGTATTATTAGACTATACATGGCGGTATGCTCTGCTGTAGCAGTATTATGTATGGCGGTATGTACTGCTCTGCTGTACTCAGGACTCCGCGTGCGTACGTACGTGTACCGAACGGACCCAATCGCCCTACCCTTGGGCAAGTCCATTCCCTACGGCTCCACCTACTGCTGCTGTGCTGTGGTTATCTCTCGAACGGGCCGGGCCGTGTTGTCAATATCCTCATTTTTTTCTCAGCACAATATCTGTGAAAAAAACAACAGGATACAGGTTGTAATCTCGCATAGAAGAAGGATTGATTTGTTATGAAGAAAGTGAATTGCAATGATGAAACACAAAAAAAATATCCACTCTGAATTTATTTCCTAACCCATCCATACAGACAGCCTCCAGTGCGGACGACTTCGTCGAATGCAATGATTGGTTGTGACGGTCGAAATACAGTTGTACCATATGTCTCGGAACAGTCCCTGGTAGGTACTCCAGTAGGTGCACCTCGTTCGTGCACAAAACAACAACCTCTACATAGCAACCCGAGCGCTTACCCCGCAAGTAACCTAGCCATTACCTCCTCTTCGTGCGCCGTGGCCTAGGTTTACGACGCACAGTAGTGACCTAGCGCTTACCATTTCATAGCTTTGGGTAGGGTTGTTTTGTGTTTGGGTTAGGGAGAGGCTAGGCTATCAGTACGTACGTAATCGTTCTGATACTGCTGTACAGACAAAACAGAAAGCCAGCCAGGTTGTGGTACAACAGCGGGCCGGGTCATTTGAACCAGGGACCGATACTGCCTGAAGCACAGTGGTACATGTAGTTTGAAAGCGTTATACTCCTACTCATCATCGGGGTGTAAATACCTGCACTATCCACGTGGAGACAACAACAGCAACAACAACCACGACGACCACCTCTCCCCCTCCCCGGTTCTGGGCCTCGAGTTGTGGGGGCCGGAATGTTCCGAGAAGATTCCCGTCAAGTCAACCGTTCATCATGCATTCCTCCACTCCAACAGTCCACTGCTGCCATCCATCCATGTACACATTCTTCAACAGAGCAACAGCAGCAGGTGAGGAAAGAAGGCACTCGGCGGGCAACAACATTGACTCCGTCCTGGATATTTACTTGGTTGTGTGTGAGTGATGCTCTCAGCCCTTCGCAGTGATATCCGTATTACCCTAGCGACCAAGCTTTTTTTGTTGCGGCCCTTGAACTTTTGTTCTGCCAAAGCCGTTGTGGTTGGTCTTTTGGTCGAAGCCATCACATCCACTGTTGATTGTTTCTCCGCAGGGTCGTACCCACCAAGACTTTCATTTTCTTAATTTTTCCTCTTTGGATCCTGGTGGACAACATATAACGCAGCGTGCAATCCTAGTGACGACGCGGATACTCTTAAAACCGAAAACGGTCCACCATCAGTATCAAGGTGAGCCCCTCCTACAGAACTGGCGTGCTGCTTGTGCTCACCAATTGTTGTATGTTTCGTAATAGTTTGTATGCACGCGCCCTTCACACAATATTCGGTCGTCCTGCTGTAGGATATCATGGTTGAATTCATTTTGTTTTTTTGGCCGGCGGAGCTAGACAGGAGCTAGATGCACGTCTTCGCTGACTCCTACTACTCTTTTCTCTCTCCCCTTTCTCTCTCGCTGTCCCGTTCGTCCTACCTAGTGCTCTCTGTAGGCGTTGCGCGTGTTTCAGCACAGCCAGGTAAGACGATCCAGCAGTGTGGGGTGGCGCTGGTTCTTTGTTTGATCGATTCTCGTGGTTGAGTCCATGATGGAACAACGTCCGTATCTTGGTCTCTTTGTTTGGGTGTAATACTACTCTTCGACCACACATCCCCCTCTCAACACCGCGGTTTGTCGGGGTGTGTTGTATGGATTGTTATTTCGACCCCCTTCCATTGTGTCCTTCCAAGTTTTGTGCTGCTGGGACGCCAGAAGTCTCTTGCAACAAGAAGGGGAGTGAGAACAGCAGCAGCAGCAGCAGCAGAGCAGCGAGGCAGCAGGGATATCATTCCCCTGTCGGATCATCGTACAAACGTCAAGAACAACCGTCGCCAAGAGACCGACAGAGAAAGAGGCAGCGCAGCGCTTCCCGCACACGCGCATCCCACTACTCGCCTCTGTTTTCCCTCTTGGACTTGGGCAACCGAACCCTCTTGTGGCGCGTGCCCTCCAGTGCACTCTCGGTCCTACTGTAGCACCGCGGCGGTGAGCGGACATGGGAGATAGGCTTGCGGCGAACCAAGCACCATCGTCGTCGAGAATAGCAACAACAGCGGAGCAAGCAGCAAGCAGCAACCTGAGCCAACAGCGGTCCGCTATCGCAGCACCTTCATCGGCAGACACAGAAGGTGAGGCATTTTTCTCCATAGCCACTGCCGGCGCGGCGGTGCCGAGCGTGGATCCAGGTACTCTAGGACATTGCTAACCGGGATCCTCCAGCTTTTTGACCGCAAGCATCTTCCGTTGGGGAGCGCGCTTCAGTTGAACAAGCCCTTGATGTGTGTTCAGATTTTTTGCATTTATTTTTTGCGCCAAACTCGACCCCCCCTCTCTCTCTCTCTATCTCTCCCGGCGTATTGGTTTTCTTCGGTTTGTCGATTATGAACTCAGCAGGCAGCCGCAGCGGGGTTGATTCGATTGACGCAGATGCGTGTGCGTGTGCGTCACGATCTTCGCTGAAAGGCAAGACGTCTGTGCGAGCCATTCCGACCACGCTCACGCTACCCTCCCCCGCCCGCAAGCGCGCACAACCGCAGCTTGTGGCTCAGCAGCATACATAGGTTTACACACACACCCGACCTACACGTGC